TGAGCACTGCAGAAGAGCGCCCAGGCCACCCACCGCCCTGCAGAGCCCAAAGGTGAGCAGTCTGCGTGGGGAGAAAGCCACGGCACACGGCCATCTTGTCCTTCTATCCTGGTTTCCTCACACGGGATTTGCGGCCTTTGGGTCCAGGCTATCGTCCCATTAACTTACCGATCTTTGTCCCTGCTCTAAGCAGAGCGTGCCCACCCTAGCCTGTGATCAGGGAGCAGCTGGGCAGCTGTGGGTGGTGCTGAGCATTCACAGACACATGTGGGACCAGACTGAGGGGCTGCTACTCTGGAGGCACTTGGAAGAGATGCCGACAGCCTGGATGGCACCAGTGCAGGGCTGTGGGAAGAGGGGCCTCGCACCTGCTGTGCTGACCCTGGTGACAGGCAGACAGAGCCTGACTTCTGGCGGGAGCACTGCGCCACAGGGAGAGGGGCTCACCAAGGACCCTAAATGGGGCCACAGAGCTGGGCTGGGGCTGCAGCTAAAACTCAGTGTCTGGCCTTAGTCAATGTCTTAACCTCCCTGGACTGCAGTTTCCCACAGGATTACAAAAGCTCTGAAATCCCTCCCAGCTCTAAAGTTGCTTCTTTCTAACTGATTTCTTTTCTAAACCAGGCATGTTATCTGTGGCACTGAACCTATGATCGCACCACTGGGCCATGTTTTCTGCAGGTTCACGTGTAATTCTGGACAGTGTGGCAACCTGGGTGGCCCTTACACACACCACCTGTAAGTCGTGTCCACTGCTGGACTGGTGAATGCAGTTACCCCCTTTTCAATTTATGCCAAAACAAAATTGTAGGCGGCGCCTGTGGCTCAGTGAGTAGGATGTCGGCCACATATACTGTAGGTGGCGGGTTTGAACCTGGCTCCAGCCAAACTGCAACAAAAATAGCCGGGTGTTGTGGCAGGCGCCTGTAGTCCCAGCTACTCGGGAGGCTGAGGCAAGAGAATTGTTTAAGCCCAGAAGTTGGAGGTTGCTATGAGCTGTGTGACGCCACAGCACTCTACCAAGGGCGATAAAGTGAGACTCTGTCTTGGAAAAAAAAGCATATGGTTTGTATCCAAAACAAAATTGTAACAACTTTCTAGAAACACAATTATTTTAAATGCAAAAGAATATTAGCACACAGCTTTTCACTATCACACAGATGCGCTTGGTAATAACTATCACACAGATGAGCTTGGTAATGGCAGTTTTAGGTATTAAAGGCACAGAGGTGCTGTGGAGTGGCCGGGGCTGGCTGAGCTGACTGATGATGCACTCTGAACTCGGGGGCCACCAGCTGGAGTCATGTGCACACACGGTTGGCTTCAGCAGTGCAGAATGTGCTGTGCACACACAGACCACAAGCCACGGCCTTGGGGAGAAGCCCCCATCAGCAGGAACCACGGCCACATGCCACGGAGGTATCTGATGGTGACACCCAAGAGGTCTGATTTGGAGCTGTCCATGTTTTTTCTGAGGCTGCTGCTTCACACTGCAAGTTTCAGAAAGGATTTCAGATATTTTGCAGGAAGCAGTTATAAAATATTTATTAGCTGAATCTGGACTTTTTTAAAAAAGAGTTCATTTTCTCCAGTAATGGAGACTTTTCCCGTCTAGTTAAAGAAAAGATAAAAGGCACCCCTGCAGGAGTGTAGCCAAGGCGATAATTTATACAAGATGCCTTTGAACAATTTCCACGTTTTATCACCACCCTAATTTATGCTATCAAATAGCCCAGTTTATTTAGCAAAATGGTTATGTTTTTCCTAAAGTATTTAAAGAGAAGAAATTTTTGTACCTTCCTGAGTAAAAAATTTTATAGGGTCAAACCTGAGGCCTGACTGAAGAATGAAACTATTCTCAGCACATAAATTCCCTCTCACGTAGCAAACGTCTTGCAGGAGAGCTTTTAAGGGCCGAAGCTACTGATTCCTATAAAAGAGGCTGTGGAGCCGTAAATGCCCAGAAAAGGATAATTTTTAATTAAAGCAAATTGTTTTATAAAGTTTAAACAATCACAAGACCATGTTTATTTCTTGTCCTGCTCTATTTGTTTATTTCATGTATTGGGGGGAAAATAAAAATAGAGTTTGCTTGAAAAAGCAGTAACAACAGCACCACAGAACCAGGGTAATAAAGAAACATATTGGATTTTTTCCCATGGGCTTTCTCTCTATTAATATATTTTTAAAAGTCCACCTTCCGCCAAGTCTTATATAATCTAGACTCTTTTAAAATACTACATATAAGCAAGAAATGCTTAAACATGACCACATTCTCTCTTCTCCATATGTGACTTTTGCATGTATCAATGGAAAATGTTAAAATCAGACTTTTTAAAAAGAAAAACAATGATTTACAGTTATGTAGCATTACCAAGTGAGCAGTAAATAACTTAACCTGTAATAAACATGAAAAGTAATTTCAGCGAGGAAAAAAGTTGAAACTTTATTTCCCTAGCAGAAAGTCCAGCACAGATTCACCCCATGTGAGCTGTTTAACTTTAGGGAGCAAAATTTAAAAAATGAATTTTAGCAAAAGTTTCTTTAAAAACCTTAAAATACAATTCATTATCTTCTGAATGTCCATGAGAAAGCGTAAAGATTTTGGAATCAAAGAGGAAATAGTAGCAAGTGCCATGGATGCCACATTGACCTATCCCTGAAATAACCATGGACATGGAGACGTCCACGCCAGAGTCAGCACTGTGACCTCAGGGGACCACAGGGCTAGTGGTTTCTTTTCACCAAAGCCACTGACTTTTTTCACTGCCCAAGTTTAAATGACCCCACGTCTTTCCACTGTGCTGACGTATCCAGACATCTTCCTAAAAGTTTGTCACACGCATCCATCACCTCGCTTGTTATAGAAAGTTCATTCATTATTACTATCTGTCCAAAATATACTTTTCAAAATATTTTTCAATTTATTGCTTCAAGAATGCAGTGACAGGATATAAGTGGTGGTGTGACCCTGGGTCGCACAGTGAACCCTCTGCCAGAGGAACCTACAGCTTGGACACAGCTTCTGCTTGTAAATTCCCGAGCCTCAGTGCTGCCTCCCTGAAGCTTCAGTGAGTTTCAATAAATTCCTTTTCTGCTTAAGAAAAAAAAACAAAAACCTGAAAGTAACACAAGACTATTAAGTGGAGAAATACTATTTTGCTATAACAAAACCACAAGATGACCCCATCAGACAGCCTGTCGGGGGAGGATTCCCACAGCTTCCCCTCTGTCCCCTCACTAAGAAGCCATGATTCAAACAAGTAAACTTTTTAACATAACAAGCAAATTTCTCCTCTATATTGAAGCAGACATCTAAAAAGTGACAACATAATTTAATGTAACACCAACTTTTATGAGTGAGGACCACCTGCCAAGCTTTCCCCAGAGTGAAGAAGTTGGAAAGAAGCCGCCCATGGGTCAGGCTCTCAGACTCACCTGCCCTGAACCCAGGGCTGCTCTCCTGTCTGAGGTTTAGATGCAGTTTTCTCTCATCCCGTGTGGTAATTAAATGATGCCGCTGGATATCAAGATGACATCAGTTCTCTGCACACACTTGAGTGTATTCTGAGAGAATTTCTCTGTCACCTACTTTGCCCAATGAATCAATCCAAAGAACTAAAGGTCTGGATTGTTCTCCCTCTAAATTTTCAAATAAAATTGTCTCTAAAATAATTAGGGTCATTTGACTTCATGTGGAAAGAGCCTATGAATACCAAGTTTTCAAGGAGTATTAGAATAATTTTGAGAGTAAAATAATAAAAATTGCTCAAATGCTTCTTTTTAAAAACAAGCTGCTTCTAAAAACATTTCAATCAAAGCCTTACCCTAAAAAGGCATTTGGAGAATGTTGATCTATTATTATTCTTTATTACTATGAACAGCTATTTTAGAAAATGTTGCACTGAACTGTATTGGAATAGAATCGTATCAATAAATTCAAAAACTCTTGGCATGCCAACGAGGGGATCTGCTGCTTGATAAAGGGAACAGAGTGGAATTCTTTACTGTAGCTCTCCCACTTAGTATAAACACCGTAAAACACAACACAGAAAATAAACAAGTGCGTGGCTGTCAGCGGAGCCAAGACAAATTTGGAAACTAAAGAACATAAGCTTTCTTTGCAACAGGGAGTAGTTTCATATTCCGGCTGCTAACATGAGTTAACCAGAGATCCCAATACCCTGCACAGACAGAATCAATAGATAGCTGTGTCATCCCTAAGGCAATTCAGACCAGCAGCGGAGGCACAAAGGGTATTTCCCCTGCACCTGCATACCCCCAACACCACATGCACCAGGTTCAGCTCAGGGCACTCCACAACATGACACCCCAAAAGTAAGTTGCCTCTGAGACCCAACAGATTAGCAAATATAAATCCTCACTAGACATGATTTCAACAGCATGTCAGTAAGTTGATCCATTCACTTTGTAATGAAACATTCACGATAAAAAAATCAAACATATTTATCACAACCAGAATTTTTTCACAAAGACCCACCTGTTACGCCCAGAGTCGCGGAAGCCTTTGGCAAACGGATTCCTGTCTATCTTCAAGCGAGTAATCTGCCGAGTAGGAAAACAAACCATGTCAGGCAAGTTTCTTAAAAACATAAATGACTGCAGAACTACAAATGATTCCAAAATCAACTGTTAGAAGATGCTAACATTTACCTTCCCTCCACTCCCCAGTTATCTAAATATCCTAGCAGTAAAGCCAAAAGGGAATTTCAGAAATCATCTAGAACATTCACCTAGTAGGAAAAAGACACTTCCCAACTCCTTTTCAGTCTGCATGAATAGATACGCTTGCTTTGCTTTCAGTAATTCCTGGAGATTCTGTTGATAACTCACCACGCATTTGACCATCCACTCTGAACTGAAGTTCCTGTGAATGCCAGTATGTATGTAGTCTGACCCTGTCTCTCTCTCAGGAGAGGCTGTGTGGGGCGGCAGCATCCAACCTCCACGTCACAGCTGTTTTTATGCTTGAATATTGTTTGGCTCCCAAGATGCCTTCCCTTCTTCAGAATTAGTTCACACCATGTAACACACACATTCCTTTAATTTTCTGCCTCTGTATTTCTCTCTCTCCTTTCATCTTTTGGCTCTCATTGGTGAATTTTAATCTTTTGTCTTTCACCTGCACGTCCTAACCTGTGAAGGGCTCACAGTGCTGACCACTACTTGGAGGTTCTCCTGACATCAAATCCCACACTCCATGGAGTAGAAATCAACAGTGCTTCAATCTTAACTTTTAATGTTTTAAAGATAAATTTTATTGTGTTATATTTAAGGTATACAACGTGATGTTATGAAATACATACAGATAATGAACTAGTTCCTATAATCAGAGTTCTAATTTATGGACTCACAACCAGCTTCTTGCCCACTAAGACACCAGTGTTTGGGAGAATAATTGTTACAAGTGGTCTAATCATCTCCATTTAAAAACTTGTATTTTAGTCATGCCATGCTGAACTGGGAATTAATAAGTAACATTCCATCTGTTTCTCACCAGGTCTCCACTTTGCCCAGAGGAATTCACAGTCTATTCTCTAAGAGGCACATCATGCTTTGCTTTCTAAATTCCTTGGCGTAATGAACTCTGCAAAGTTAATGAACACACTGCTGATTGCCCCATCTTGGCTGAGGACAGAAACTGCCGGTAACACCAACACAAAGAAAGGCATCTTGGAAAGTCTCCGTAGCCCTCGTGCCGCCTGTGCACGCTCTCAGCCATCCTCCAATCAGCCACGCAACACTTCAGGCACGTGTGCTCCATATGAAACTGTCTTGGATGTGGATAAAACTACATTGTAAATGATATAATGAAAGGGTCTAATAATTAATTCACTGTGTCATTCTGTAGTTGAAGAAATTCTTCTCTACAGAGCATTATAGCTTGATCTTCTATTCAATAAATTTTATACAACTGAATAACTTCAGTATACATTTAAAATACTATTTAAAAGAATATAGATTTATATAATGATGCTATGTGTAAATAGAGACACACATCGCAATTACTATTGTCATTTTTATGCTAGTGTCACCATATTTGTTAAGTACGTACTATGTGTGCTGTGCTAAGTTTTATGCATACTAGTCATGTAATTATCAAAATAACCATGCACAGCTATTATCCCAATTTTATATTTTCTTTTAAACTGAGACTTAAGTAATTTTCCTAAGGTTGTATTTTACTAGCAGGAGAAATGGGCGAGGACCCTGAGTTGCAGAGCCCATGCTATTAACAACTTGGTGAGTCTGCCTGCCAATTTTCCAGAAGTTCTTAAAAATTGTAGCCAGGAAATTTAAAAGTGAATGTGACTGCACTTTATCAGTATCAATTTCCCTTCTAATTTTCACCATCTTAACACACCAATGTTCACAAACTGGCATTAGTCACTAACGTGCCAAAAGCCCTTGACACCACCCTTACTATGCCAGAGTAGGTGGCGAGAGTCACATAGGGGACAGTTTGTGTGTGTGAGAAACAGAGAGAGACAGAGAGACAGAGAGAAACAGAGGGAAAGACAGAGATACTGAAACAGAGAGAGAGACAGAGATGCAAGGACAGAGACACAGAAATAAAGACACAGAGACAGATCTAGAGAGAAAGAGATAGTGAGAGACAGAGAGATGAGCTGGGCTGTTGTAAGGTAACTAAGCCTTACTTTTAGGTAACTATGCCTTACTTTTTTACCCCCCAAATCACTTTCTGCCCCCAATTATCCCCCTGGTTGTCTCTGCATCTTCTAAAGTACATGGCATCCTCCTCCCTATACACCTGCAGGACCACAGGGCAGCTTCGGTCTGGGTTGGCATCCCATCCAGGAGGGACAGCCTTGCCTGTCAACCCTAAAGGACAGGCTCAGGGAATTCAGAGCTCCTGAGAAGCTTTACAACAGCAGAAGCCCCCATGGAGAGAGAATGAAGACTTATATGCTGAACCAAGATGTATATAAAAGTAAAGAGAAGTGAAGACCTAAAACAATTCTGCTGATGGCTAAAATTAAAAACAAAAAACCTGCTGCATAGCACAGCAGCCTGCACTGTGGGGACAACATATCTGCCCCCAATTCAGCTCTCCACCTGCTTGACACACACAACATGGCCTTAAGGAAATACAGACGTGTACTCACACACAGAAGATGTGGTTCACTTCTCAAATGTTTTGAAACTTTATGAAAGGCTTAGTCCACATCTGATCTCTCAGCCTGCAAGCTCGAGGTCACCCCGTCATCGAGGTCATCACGTCACCGTGATGGGAGTGGCTCTCCCTACATGAGCACCCAGGTGACCACACAGGGCAAACACTTTTGAAATATTTACCATGGTTTCAAGTGAGCTACCAAATCTCCTATACCACAGTATGACTGATTTTTGTATTTTACATGTCTATTTCCTAAGCAACAAACAAGCTTTCTAATTTTAATTATAACATCATGCTTCGGTATCTCAAAGTGGAAACTAAACCTATACTGTCAGTCATGAGACACATTCTTGTCTGAGGAAGGCCTTACTGGAGTAGCCTTACTTGGGAGTCATGGATAAAGAATTGTTTTGTTTATTTTATACACACACACACTTTGGATGTCATAAATGGCAATGCTTGAAGACAATCCATAACATTTAGACATAGTGAGAAAGGACAGCTAACTTCCTATTTACCCCTGCAATGAAAAGTCTAAAAACCTAGCACTTCAGTCACAAAAAAAAGATGGAGGCTTTACATCTTTTGTACTAACCTGTGTAGAGTTGGAGAACATTCTCTTTGGTAACTTATCACAAGAATGTTAAAGCAAGTGTCTACTGTACTCAATGCTAATAAGAAGCCAGAAGATGATCTAACACATGCTCACACAAGAGAAAAACTCAATTCAATTCAAGTCAGGGTGAGGGGGAGGCAGATGGAGGGGCTCCCACCTGATGGGCACAATGTGGGGGGACATGGCACACCTCCTGGTGGAGGGGCACAACTATGACAGGGACCTCACCTAACAAACACAAACATTGTAACCTAATTGTTTGCATCCTCATAATAGTCTGAAATTTTAAAAAAGACGCCGATTCTGAGAACAGTACCTGCTGGTTCTGATAGGCAGTGACAGTTGTGAAGACGGTTTCTGGAAACGAGAATGCCTTCACGCCCTCCCCAGATGGAACGGGCTTGACAGGAGAAAGGTCGTCCCCGCAGTCCTTGCGGGCTACGTGCACTCGAGGCTGGTACTTGTGCATGGAGTGGAGAATGATCTGCAAGAAGAGAAAAACCAAGAATGATCTGTGTGAAGAGAGAAACCGAGTTTCCAGGGCCTCCACCAACCTCAGCCCCCCGGTCACACAGTCAGTGTGCAAGGGAAACTCCTGTTGGAAATCAGTGCTTCCAAGGGTGCAGATTTTATTCCAATTTAGTAAGACAGATCAGAATTGAAGACAGAGAGCTAGGAAGGTTTTTGTAAAATGTGCACAAAATACAAACTAAAATCACTGTTTTAGTGAAACCCTGTGTACAGCCATGTGAATTTAACATCAAATTTTCTGTTGCTAAAAATACAGGAATAAATGCTTGAGCAGTTTATTTATAATGAGCCCAATGGAACAGAGTCCAAACCAATAAAACTAAAAATGAGACTGAAATGGTTATTCAAATTGCGCCACAGACATCCACTAGCAATAAGTATTTGCACACAAGGTTTTCTTCGGAGGGAATTTTCCCCAATCTGTGGCTACGTGTGCCTATTCAAGGCAAAGGGGAGTCTGAGGACACAGCAGCATCTGCTCTGTGAGGCTCACAAGCCCTGTTTGCCGGGACAGCCCAGTGTCCCCGCCTGCATCACAGTGGCTCTAAGACTCAGACTCTTGGAGGTGGACATGTGGCTCTCTTGGACTCTGCTAGGGAAATCTCCCTCTGCCCAGTGATTCCACTTCTGACAATTTATCTGAAGGAAACAGTCCAAATTCAGAAAAGCTTTCTGTGTACAGAGAGGTGCATCACACACAGCACTTCCAACAGTGGAAAAGCTGCAGTATCTCAGTAGAGGTGAAAGGTGCCTGGCGAATACTTGGACCCAGTAGTGTTTTATTTTTATAGAGATGTTAGGAAAAGAATGGGTGAGGGGGAAATGTCCTGCCCTCTGAAACAGAGGCAGTCCCCTCCCCTGCTTGACAGGCAGAGTTTTATGGGACTTTACATTGGACATATTTAAGTATGAAAAAACTGGCATTAATACTCAAATTTATAGATGGAAACTAAGGTCTAGACAAGCAAGAGACCTCTGAATCCTCAGGGCAGGACCTGGGAGCCAGGCCCCTTGGCCCCGGCTGGTCTTCCTACCACCATGCTCCTTACATGCCTTCACCGTGAATGTGCGTTTTGTGGGCAGCCCCACAGCCATGCCAGTCCAAAAGATGCAGTCCATTAACTCCACTTCCCTGACTGGTGTCTCAGAACTTTTGACCTTAGTGTACTCCTGTAAACATGAACAGCAGACGGCCAGCAATGTCATAACCACTGTTAGTGCTGACCCTAGTTTCCCCTGTTTATCCCTCAAAGTGGCATTCACTTGAGGTCTCAGGGAGCTGAAGAGTTTAAGGGAGACCTCTTCCTCTTCCCCAAGCTAAGGAACAAAATGCCAGCAGTCAGCAAGTAACAATGGAGCAAAATCAAGTGCACAGCCAGTTCCAGAAGACGGGACTAACCTGGAGAGAAGCAAACAGAGATGGTTGGGCTGCTATTCACTAGTTGGTGAAAAGTAGGTCTTGTCTCATGAACACTCTGCTCTCTCAAGCAGATTTTTCTACATAGTTATATACTTTTATTTTTATTTGTTCATATCCTTACTATATTCAAAATGACTTCAGGCAGGATGTGCTGGCCACAGCGTGGATGTGGCTGAGGTGCATGCTGAGGTCTGCTGCTATCGGGCAGCTGCCACTGACATTCTGAAGACTGTTCAAGCAAAAGAACATATTTTCAATATTACCTATAAAAATGTAGCGTATCCTTGGAACTGTGTAGGGAATACTAAGAAGCCTCAGTTCTTCTTCATAAGAAAGCATTATTGACTTTTGAATGAACTGTCAAACTTCTAACAGCAAGATAATGCTTAGTTTTTTCAGGATTTATTAGAACAGGTAGAATCAGGAGGGCTTCTGGCCTCACGAACAAGCAGACCATAGGCGATGCATGGACCATGGTGGCAATGTCCACCACGATACCTTCCGGGCACGTCCTGCAGACCACAGTGGCAACATTCACCATGACACCTTCTGTGCACATCTTACAGACCACAGTGACAACTTTCACCACAACACCTTCCGTGCACATCCTATAGACCATGGTGGCAACGTTCACCATGACACCTTACCTACACGTCCTAAGCTTAATCTCTGTTCTCTTTAGGCTTAGACAGAAGATTTTTGGGGGGTGGTTGGGGGACCTTACCTATTAATCCACACAGCATAAGAATCTAATCCAGTAAACCCAGGGTGCTTTCCCAGGTACAGGATAATCTGTGCTTTTCTAGTTTAAAGATGTTAGAATAGGCTCACAAGCAGCACGACACTGTAGACTTCTGATGATGAGGTGAGTGCCTGAGCCTGAGGTCTGGCTGGCAGGCCCATCTAGTCTCACAGAGGAGCTCAGTAGGAGGACACTCCCTGCTGCCTGGACACTTTCCAGATGACCTAAGTTCCCATGATGGAATTTGTCCAGCAAAGGACCATGGGGAGACAACAAAATGTGGTTCCCTGGATGTTTTGGAGAGAGCAGGTACTGACTCACGTCGGATGGCATAGAGCAGCAAATCCCAAGCCTCAGAGCAAGGCAGCTCTATTTCTGTTTTACACCTGATGCCACATATTTATTACAAAGCACTACCTATTAACTCACTTGTGTGACCCACTCTGAGTGTTATGTTTCCAGTATAACCCACGAGAAGGCCATGCCCTAGAGAGTGGGAGTGATGTGCCCACAAACACGTGTGCCTTGCTTCAACCATCACGGTTCCTTCCACCAGCAAGACCCCCACACCCTCCTTGTGATGTTCAGCCTCCCCGGCAGACTCTCAGGAGCACAGGAGGAGCCAGGGTGCAGAGCCTGTGTAGCTGGGAGCACAGGCTGCCTGCAGGCCTGCCGTGGCCATCTGGGGTGCTTCCTTCCGAAGCACCCAGCACTGGGGGGACAAGTCCTGCTGAGGCTTAAGGGGCACTGTTACCCATTAAATGCCTCCTAAGTTTTCAGGGAAAGGCTCATCTTAATGTTTCCTTTCAGATGGGAATTCCAGGTGGACAGGGAGGCATGTATAAGATAAGAAGGAATCGCCCGGCCAGAAGATTTTTGGGGGGTGGTTGGGGGACCTTACCTATTAATCCACACAGCATAAGGATCTAATCCAGTAGTGATGCCTACACAGACTGAGGGTTAAATCTGCTCTCTCACCAACATTCTGTGCTTCTCAAAGTGTTTTTAAAGCAGGAAAGAGCCCTTTCTCTCCTCTCCATTCTCTTCAGCTACTAACTCACACAGACATACATTTCTACCATTTGCAAAGGCAATTCCTTGCTTCTGAATTGCACAAATACATCTTTCTCCCTTTTCCCTCACACATCACTGACCCACATTTACTGTCCTGCCACAACCTGAAAGGAAAATTTCACTACAGGACAACGCATTTCCCTAGCTTTTGCCTGTTTTCTGCTTTGCTTCTGATTTTCCTAATCATAAAATATTTTAATTATTTAGGGCTAAGCAACGGGATTTCAATTTGTAATCTATTCTTTCCTGTTTTAAACAAATGCTACATAACAGTTAATTTTATGTCATCTTGGCTAGGACCCAGATATCTGGGCAAACATCAGTCCAGATGTTGCTGTGAAGGTGTTTTTTAGATGAGATGAACATTAACATCAGAAGGCTTGCAGCAAAGCCGATGACCCTCCCTCATTCAGGTGGGCCTCATCAGGTCAGCTGAAGCCGTAAGAGAAAGCAGGCTGGGGCTCTGGGGAGGAGATCTTCACAGCAGACTTTGCACAGACGTACGGCCTGCCAGCTGCCCTACAGATTCTGGACCCCACAACCTGGTAAGCCCATTCCTTAAAGTCAATATTTCTCTTTCATTCTCTTCCTTCCCTCACCCCCCACATCCTATTTTCTGGAGAATGCTGTTTTAAATAAAGTCTACTGAAATCACAAAGCTAAGATCATAAAGTGGATAAATTGCTAGCTATGAGTCTAGTATTCGATTCATCAGATATTAGCCATAAGGCCAATAATTTGAACTGAAGGAATAAGAACTATAAAATGATCACCGTAATTTAAATTAGTGAGAAGTTTATACTTTCTATATGATATATATAGTTCTTAGGCCAAATTATCTCCCTAAAAGATAGACTGTTAAACTGTAGAATTCAGAGAAGTGTAGTAACTTAGGGTTCTGATGATGAGTGCCACTAAGTGGCATTTAGCCTAAAATTTTCTATTCCAGAATAACCAAAACCCCCTCAATGGATGTTCCTCCAGTCTGTAAGTCAGGGCCTCAGTGGCACAGAAGAAAGCAGTGTTACTTCATTAAAGTGAAGTGAAAAATAACTTGCAGCTTGACCATGTTAGGTCATAAAAATAAAGAGTAAAAAGACGGGAAACTAACAGTGCCCCAGAATAAAGGACATGAAGCTGGATTCAGAAATGAAACCCACTATGCTACTTCTCTGTTTTAAATCTTAAAAGGCAGCGATCCATAGACAAAGTGTGGCCACGCGAGATCTCGCGGGATGAGCCTAAAAAAACTCAGACACTACATCTGTACCCGTGGAATTTGTCCTCAAATGTTTTCATTAAGGTCAATTCCTGAAGATACTGTCCAGCCACTTGCAAACCATATTCCATCCTGTCATCACTATGTTATTCGATTGTGACAGTTTGCATTTTTGTCTTAAAAGATCTGCTCATAAATATGCTATCTTATGACACCCCTTTGAGAAATAAACAAGTTGGCATTTGTTTTATGTATGATATATTCTTTAAAGGCATTTCAATCCTGCTGCAATCAAAACCTACTCAAATAACAGAAACCTAATAAAAATGCTAACTTTGAACACAAATCAGCATGTATCCAGAGTTACTTATTTATTAAAATAATAATGTAGAAATCTTGCCTAGGAACGAAACTGCATAAAAATTAATAAGGTGGCAAAAATGACTGTATTATTGAAATGACTGAACTTTGACTTATGTATCATGTTTCAGCAGTTTTAGGAATAAAAGGAATTATTGTTGTAACACATTTTGACACATTAGATGTTATTACAACACAATTGGGAACTTGCAGAGGGAACACACGAGCGGCATAAGCCTGGGCAATCGCTGAGAAGCAGGAGGCTCAGCTGGGAAAAGAGCACCACGCAGGCCGCACGCGATAAATCATTATCCCCTATAACTCAACTCCAAAGTACTCACAGTCACAGCACAATAATTAGCACCTCATGGGATTCCACACAAATGCTGCAGCTAAAAAAGTCAGTGCCCTGGTACTTTCACTCCAGTACCTACGTGGTATCTAGTGTTAACCTACTAAACGCCCCGGAGGCGCAGTCTGTGCAAACACAGACATCACTTTGCGCACGCGCACACGCTAACCAGCCAGGACGGACGCAGACACCACGGTCCCTCTCCGGGAGAGGCAGCCCAGGCAGACACGTCACCACGCAGACGCTCACAACAGCCGTGCACTCACGTGGCCCTGGTCGTCCAGCTCGTTGTTGGTGAGCTTCAGCTTGTCGAAGCTGATCACTTGTCTCATCCAGGTCTCCCCCGAGGCAGGCGAGTCCGGGTGGATGTACACGCGCGGCGGCACCGGCGAGTCTGCGTTCCCCGCCACCATCCACTTGGAGCTGTGGTACACGTACCTGCAAGGCAGTGACAGGCGCTCAGCACGCGGTCTCGTCCTGCCTTGGAGTGTCCAGCTCATCAGAATCACACAAAATGTGTTCTCTTTTTTTTCTTTTTTTCAGGTCTAAAATAAATTGATTTCCTCTTGACAACCAAAATAAGATTTCAGGCATTTTAAAAAACTTTCTGAGCCAGCAGTGGCCTCCTGGCAACTCAGAGCGAGTAACACGTGAGTGGCTTAGTGAGAAATATGCACGTCACCACCACAATCGCAAGTTTCCTAATTCTTACGACCCACACCTACCACACCAGACTGACAGAGCATCTGTATTTCCATTTTTCATCTGGATATTCAACTGACATGAAGAAACTACTAGCTTGTCAAGGTCACCTTTAAGTAAATCTCAAAAACCCTTGAGAGTTACACCTGAAGTGTTCCAGCCTCCTTCAAGATGACTTTCCATGACTTGGCAATTATGAATTGAGCTGTAATGAACAATTTGGTGCAAATATCTTTATTGCCAAATGATTTCTGGTCCTTTGGATATACACCTAGAAGAGGAATTGCGAATCCCATAATGGAAAAAAAAAATCACTTTCCATTTCAGTCTCTGTGTAGGCAGAGGGGACAGACAGTAAAAAGGCCACAAGACACTGTCAGAAGTTTTAGGAACTTTTATCTTAGTAGGGAAGAAGTTCTATCTATTATCACTTGGAATTATTTTTTTCTAATGCTATGACGCTATATATTGAGGACAAAGCATTCAGTTTAAAGAATTTTATATTATCATAAAATGTTGGTCTTCATTTAATTCCTGTGTTTCATTCTTGACTTTCAAATAGTTTTAAAATATTGGTAATTAAAAAATAAATCAAACTTTGAAAATGATGGTATAACCTATTAATACTACTTTTCTAATTAAAAGACAAAACATTCTATTCTGTTTGTTTATATGTCAGATATATTCCGTAAAAATAATACAATTATATAATAATGTCTCAAGTAAGAAATAAGACCTTAATATTTAACCTTCTTTTCAGATTATCATTTATTAATGTTAATTTAAAATAAACTAAAAAATTAGAAACTAGTGTATCAATGAAGAGTATAAAATAAAATTATAGACTTAGATATTTTCCTTCCATTTGTGTGTTAAAATGAAGCATACAGTTCAAAGCCATAATTCACAGATAGTCTCAGAAAATTCTGTATAGTATACAAATTTCTTTTTTAAAGAGCATGAAGCATTTTATTTCTGGTGAGACCTTTTGTTTCACTTCTGGTTGTGGATTGTGCTCTAAGCTCAATACACCTTCTAGTCTTTAATTCCTTTTTCTTGGGAAAAAATAATGTATGATCATAAAATTAAGAAAAAAATCATAAACCTTCAATTGGTACAGTATAATTTCAATAAATACTCCTAACTGTGGGCCTTTGTGAATATTCATTTTACATTCTAATAAGTGACAACCATTTTTAACTTGATGAAATACCACTCTCTGACATCAAAGAACAAGCCAATTATTTTTCTAATACTGCTAAAAAAGTTGGAAAATGGAAATCTTAGAAATTGGAGGAAAAACTGCACTATGGAAATGAATTGGGTTACTACCAAAATAAATGGAGTAATATGCTCTATCAAAACCTGGAGCAAGTATGCATATTGAATAGTTCAGAATTCCAGACCCACTGAGAGAGTAAACATTACGGTGACACAGTCTTCACAAAACATTCTAAATTCAAGTGCTAAAAACAAACTCCTTCTTGAGAAGCAATGGAAGTGAAAGCAGATTCATGTTTTACAATTTGACATTTTAAAATCTGGCATCTTAATAGCAATTTGTGAAATTTCCCTGCCTTCTGTGAGAGTAAATAAGAAACATCCAAAACATAGGGAAAATATCTGAAGAAAAACAAATAGGAGCAATCTTAGAAGACAAAGGGGTCATATCTAAGCACTTTAAGAATTATTTTTCTCAGCACAAACACAAATTAGAATGTGGGTTTTAAACCAATATATTTAAAGAATGAACTTCAATACCTTGTAGCTTCTGTCATGTACATAATTTTAGCAAAACTTCCTAGTGACTTAAAGTAACACAACCTACACCTAAAACAAATAATAAAGCTGTCCTTTTCATTACCCATTTTTACAGTATTTCATATATCCATGTACTAATTGCAATCTGTGTATTTTTGACAATATAAGCCTGTTTCCAAAAAACTCTCTAAATTTTTACAAGTGTTAAAAATCAAGTTTGATTTCACTGAAAAACTCACTGAACATTGTTTCTTAAAACAAGTAACAAAAGATGACCAAAATTTAAAACAGCATCTTATGATTTTCCAAACACTTAAAACCTCCTCATTTAAATGTTAACATTTTTAACTCTTCAAAAATAAAAAGCATTACTGAAAATTGCTGATTTGCTTTCTCGTAGAAGGAAAGAGCAAAGGTTGGTTTGAAGAAAGTATATCATTTCAGCATTTACTTCCTGCCTATGTAATTATATTCTCTTTCAAAATCCAAAAATTGTAAAGATTTTTAAAAGGTTAAGGTATTAACTGCCAACTAAAAAAACCACAAGAAAGGTAACAATTAACTACCCGTTTAGAGGTACCATAATATCATAATAAGTTATAAGATTTTATATTTTTCTTATAGACAACCTTAAATAATTTTTAAATTTAAAAACCCTATAAACATGATCTTGATTGTAACAAGATAAAAGGAATTTATGTGAAGATCAGAAAGATTGTGAAGAAAATATATCGTATCTTTCAATATAATTTATATCTACAAACTTTACATAATGTTTTCTCTCAAAATTCTAAGAAAAATGTGAGCTGATATAAAAGATGCATTTAGTTCCCCAGCACCAAACTGGCCTCATTTTAAAGTCCATGATACTTAAAAACATTACTAGAGCTAATAAAAGCAAACAAAAATTAAGCACCCACATTTGCTACAAGAGAAGCCACCTTCTGGGCTGCTGGAACCTATGGGCACTGGACTGTGGACCTGGAAATCCACAGCCTCTGGAAACAAAGATCTGGTCCTCACAGACCAGCACAGACTAGAGAGAGACTCAAGCATGCCCTCCTCACGTACCTGTATCTTTTGTTGTCCACAGGCACGATGTCCATGGCGATGTAATACTGCTGGTGGGGGTCTAGCCCAGAGATCTTCACTCTCATGGCTGGAAACATGCGCCTGTTGGTGAGAAAGTGTTTGGGGTCTTTTTTGTGATTAAGGATGGAGACAAAATAAGCAAAGAAACCTCTTGAATCTCCACTCTTAATACAGCAAACTTACCGCATTCACTTTGGCAATACAATTCAAGAAGTCAGAACACAACCCACATCAAAACTGAGCTTTCTAAACGCAGCCTATCGCCCCCCCCCCACCCCGTGTGCATTTCACATTTACTGAAATTTTAGTAGGAGAAGAATTGCATGCCGAAGGGGTCACAGCACTAAAAAAGGCACTTTATTTTTTAAACAAAATGCATATTTATATCAATAATACAAATAATAAAATGTACCAAATGGCAGAAATAAAAATTTTGAATTTCTGAAAGTGATAAAATATATTATAATGTGAAACTTTAAAAGGGTTATAAAAAATCCACAAGGAGCCAATGTGCCACGCTATAACCAGACAATATGTTCTTTATTGAGACAGGACTTCCTGTCTGCAGCATGGTAAGGGTGAAGTGCAAAAGTTGCTCTAAATTTGAAAGGTATAGTAAAACTTCTTTATTGAAAGCAGAAACTAAACACAATGTATATTTACCAACTCATTCCTCCCCCCACCATACCTCAAAAAGGCTCTCTAATTTAACCATACACTGAAAACTTTGCTAATTAAAACAAAGGAAAATCTGCATTTCTTTTGGCTTCTCAGAGATATATTATCAAAGGAGATGCTTAAGCAAACATGACTATTCTTTAAAAAAGGCATAGCCTCCAAGAACAGGACAGCAAAAAATTGTGTATTAAAAAAACAAATGCAGCAGTTCTTTTACAAAAATTTTTCATCCAATGATTTATGTCTAGGACCCTTCCAGTTAATCTAATTTTTGCTAATTTAACCTATAACACAACCTTTAGTACTGTTATTTACCAATTCTTTTTCTATAACAATAATACCATTAAAGGCCTCTTCCAGAGAAAAGAAAGTCCATTATTTCTAACTAGGCATGAGAACAGTTTAATATGCTGGCTGTTTTAGTGTTACTTCAGTGCACCTGTAAGATAAAGGTCTTTAACTACATCCTTTATAAGACAACTGTTGCTTTGTGTTGTTGAAGACTGAATTTGAATCATTAATAAAAGCTCTGTGAAAATGTAGAAGGTAGCATATGGATTCAATAAAATATGTTTTTGTAATTTCTAATAAGTTTGGATACTTTTATGCTATCCAGGTTTTTACCATGTGTACTGAAAGAATTGTGTGCTTTTTAAAGTTCCTTTTAAGGAAGTTTATTATTCATAGATTTCATTGCACTAAATGAACTGAAACCTTTAAAATGCAAATATTTCTGTACCTACCTCAAATTAATATGATCTGGGCAACAAATTCATTTATTTTACTAACGGATGAATGTGCAATTCTCACAATTAAGAAAAGATCTAATGTCTTATAATTTTTTATTTTCAGTATTCCTCATGTCCTCACATAATTACTCTACTGTGTTTGATTCCACTAGGAAAAAAATTTTAAGCAGGCACTGTGAATTTATAAAAAGGATAGCTTTTTAAAATCAGGGTAATCATTCTTGCAGCTATATATGATTAAATACATCTTATGGGTGATTCCAGTGACTTTTCAACCTAGTTTAATAGAAAAGTAGCACAACCTGGCATGTTTTCATTTGCCAGGAAATCTTTTGATAAAAAGCCAACCTGGAAGCTTAAAATCTGAGAAAACAAACTACATTTTAAACTGTGTTTTAAAAAGAAAAAGCAAAAATGGTGGATTTTTTCCCCCTAGTTCCAGAACTGATAGCTAGAACCCAAACAAATGCCTCGGACGATGTAAATAGGACCTCGGATCTATAACCACACCATCATCCACTGCGACGCTGTAGCATCAGCGGCAACAGGGATTTTCTCCGGGGCATTCAAGCGAGCGCGCGCGGGCCATCCCCTCGCTGACCGCACTCGCGGTCTGGGAGCAAAGCGCCTCTGCGAACCGCCGCCGCGGCCTTGTCTCGCCGGCCCAGCCCGTCCGCGCCGCAGGCCCTTTCTCTTCCTAGCCCTCTCCTTGGCATTAGGGGCCGAGTGATCCCGGGCCGGGGTCCAGTTTTACCTGCCCGCCTTGGTGATGATCATCTCCGTACCGATCTCATGAAAGCGCTTCCAGAGCTCGGCTCCCTGCAGGTCCACGCGCGGGGCCTGGGGCGAGGGCAGAGGGGTTCCGGGTGGGGCCAGCGAGGGCGCCGGGGACCCCTTTGGGGAGCCTGCCGGGGACACCAGCGGGGAAGCACCCTGAAGGAAGCCGTCCTCACCGCCGCCTGGACAGCAAAGGGCAGAGAGGGGACATCGGTGAGAGCTGCAGAGGGGAGGCCGGACGCGGAGACAGGACCCTCGCCAGGTGGCCAGGGAAAAGGAAATGACCAGGAGAAAAAGGCAAAACTCTGGTGCCACTGGATCCTTCTAACGAACACATACCCGCTCTTAGCCTAGCGAAGGGGCCCCGGACGCTCTCGAGTCCCCAGCTCCGAGAGGCGCGCAGGCCTCCTCCGCTCCACCCGAGGAACCTCTGAGGGGCGCAGGCCTGGGCAAAAAAGGTTGCGCGCCGTCGCCGCCGGGGTCCGGGATGAGTTCCAAAGTCCGAAGACCCCAGCACAACTCGCGACACGACCCGCCCCACGCGCGCAGCACACGCGCCCAGCAAGACTCTGGGCCTCCTCGCGCGGCAGGCATCTGCGTGGCCTCGCGCTGGGCCCGGCCGAGGCAACAGAAGGCCCGGCAAACCCCGCTTCCGCCCGCTGCCCAGCGGACAAGCTACTAGCGGAGCGTGAAAGCCCGTGGCCGCTGTGGGCCTCGGCGGGATTCCGGGAGGGAAGGGAGCGCCGGCCACCCCGGGAACCACGTCTGCAAATATGCCGCCCCCTTCCTGGTCCGCACAGCGGCTTAAGGCGCCCGTTCCCGCTTCGGGGGTTGTGCCGTCGCGCCCCTCCGCCCCAAGCGTTAGAAGTTGGAGAGAGAACGCTCACCCATTGGCCGGCCCCGAGGGAGGCAGCAGCCCACTAGGCGAGGCTGTAAGCCGCGTTTCCACCGTTCGTGGGTGATGGGTGCATGTCGAGCTTTGCGCAGGACACCCGCAGCCCACGCGCTCGTGGCCGAGGTGCCCAAGTCGCGTGGGGCCACCGCGCACACGCACGCCCACGGACTCGCAGTGAGGCCGAGGGACGCTCCCAGGAGAAGCTAGGCGGGAAGGGCCGACTCACCCGCAGCCTCTCGCTCCGGGTCCGCACAGCCGGCCTGCTGGGGCGCCGCACAGTCGTCCCCCTCGGAGCAGCCGTTTTCGCCCGCGCAGCCCCGGCTGCAGCCTCCGTCGTCCGCTGCTCCGGCCGTCTCCTCCGCGCCCACCTTGCGCCGCTTCTGGTGGAGCTGCTGCCGCTCGGCGCCGATGAGCGCCTCCACGGAGAAGGCGTGCGCCCGCAGGCTGAGCGCGCCGCCCGGGGAGCCGCGCCGCTTCTCGGCCATAGCGCCGTGCGCTCACGACCCGCGGACGCCCCGCTCCCCGAGCGGCTCTGTCCCCGAGAGCCGCGCGGCCCGGCCCGCCGCGGGCCCAACGAGGACTCACTGCTTCTTTGCCCGCGGAGCCTCCCCGCGGCCGCGCGCCCCGGGCGCTCCCACCCGCCCCGCTTCCGCCTGCTGCCCCGAGATCCGCCTGGACTGATGCGCCAGAGAGGACGCACGGGGGTAAAAACACTCTGCGGACACAAGTTAGGGATTGTAATTGAAATTTGTTGCCTTGATCTGTCAGCACTTCCAGGCAGGAGAGCGGGGGAAGAACTTGCTCATTAGTGTCAATAAAGCCGCGTGGGTGGGGCCGGGGCGCTGCCAATCACTGAGGCTACTGACCAATCAGAAGGCGCCTGCCGCGCACAGCCCCGCCCACTCCCTTACAAGGGTGCGGAAAACCCGGGGCAAGAAGCGCCGCGGTCTGGCAGGGACGCTCTGGCTCTGCGCTCTAGGGGAGTCCGGGTCCGGCCCAGCCCGGGTCCCCAGCTCTGCGCCCCGGGACCTGGAAGGGCGGAGGCTCCTGGCTGAGAACACCAGGGATCTTTCAAGGAACCTCAAGTTCCCGCCCCGTTCCGCGTCACTGCGCGTGGCTCCAGCGCTAAGCGTTCGGGGGCGGGGAGTCCTCCCGACACCAGCCCCTTTCCGGCTCCGACGTCCCGGGCTTAGCAGCGCCCACTGTGCATCTGCCATGGCGCCAGGCTCACTGTAGTTTTACTCCTGTAGATTTTTCTTGAGGGGAAGGGTTCAAAAATGTTTAACTCCTTTCTGCATAGGGATGCAAATGTGATGCTGACCGCTCGGTCCTTCGGATAACCCGGCAGGAAGATCGCGCCCTTGGCAGAGCCTCTTCTCTCAAAGACCGGTAGTTATTTTAAAACCTGAGTCAGGGGCTGCTCATTCCTACGTCTTCAATGATACGGAAACTTTAAAACCCCTTAAAACTTCTCAAAGTTAAATAAGTTTTAAGATGCAATCAAATTCCCCACTAAATTTGTGTCTGTGATTTAATGTAACTTTGTATCTATCCTGCTTTGGACAATTTACCACATTTATTTCAGGCTTTTAAGGAGTCAACTTGTTTCTTTAAAACAAATTCAAAAGAACATAGAGCTTTTTAAATGAATGATATCGAATATGTATACGTACAGCGTTTTGTAGTTTCACTGCCACATTTGTTTAGGATTAACAAAAAATACGTTTCGTGCAAATAGAGCAAATGTTTTGTAGAATCAAATTAATAATGAATATTACTATTAATATTCTGTATAAAATACACTACAAAGGGTTGTTTTTTTCCTTTCCCTCCTTCAGTCCGGCCATTGCCCGCTCTCTGGCCGGACTTCTCTGCAGACTTGGGTGGAGCTGCCCCTGGGAGCGGCCCTGCCGCTGGGAGGATCTTTTCACCGTGGCTGGGGGAACGCGGGTCCTCAGTCCCCACCACATTGCGAAGCCAGAACCCAGCGGGCACGTGCGCACCGCCCGCCAGGCCCCGCGACCTCAGGGTCAACAAGGACTCTAATTTCCTTTCTGGGAAGGGCTGTCTTAAAAGGCTGGAGAAGCAACTCTAGGGGAATAAGTTGTTTTGTACTTGTAAAAAAAAAAAAAAAAAGACTTTGTAATCAGTTTGGGGCTGGGTCCTGTGTGGGCCTCCAAACTCCGGTACCCCAGGCTGACATCACAGCCTGAAAAATCCGCCTCAAGCCTGTTTCTGAAGCTTGGCGATAGCGGGCGGCAGAGCGCAGGGGCCGCCTGAGGGCTGGGGCTCGGGGTGGGAGTGGGCTGAGGAGTGGAGGGCGCCCTGTCGGGATCTTGAAGCCCTCGTCCTGCCGGAGAGGACGTAGCGCGCCCCTGGCCGGCTCTCCGTGACCGAAGAGGGAGCGCCCTGCTCGCTCCTGGGACCAGCTGTCCTTGCGGCCCTGGAGACTCCGCGGCGCGGAGCCCAGGGGTGAGGTCGCCGGAGCCCTCGGGCCTTCTCCGGCTCCAGGCTGGTTCCGACAAACTCGGCTTCCTGACTCGAAGCCTACTCCGCGGAAGAGTCCTTGTCCCTGTACAGATGACCCGCAGCGCACCCTGATTTAGGAAGCCCTGCCCGGCACCCACCCCTCCTCTCTTCCTCCACTTATTTTCGTTTTTACCCTTGTCGCAGACTCCGGACCCGCGCGGACACACGGAGACAGGCTCACCGAGGTCCGCGATGTCGGGTAGAACGCGACCCTAGCAGGGATCCAGGGGTGTCCGGGGCGCCCGGGAAAGACCAGGCCTCACTCGGACTCTATTTGTAGGGAGTCAGGGCGGCTTGGCCGCGCGGCCTCTCGCAGCCTCGAGCGCGCCTTGAATCTGGCTCAAAGTCCTGGAGGTGCAGGACCAGCTAACCTTGACCCCGAAGAGCAGTGGGTCGCGGACTGCAGCCCCGGACCTTGGCTCCTGGGGACGGGTGTCGAGACTTCCCTGACATGAGAAGGGAAGAAATCCCAAGTGGGCTGAGACTTGGAGAAGCCGTTTCCCGGCCAGGCCTCGCCTCAGAAGCGCCCCTGATGTGCGTCCCAGAGCCGGGCCTTAGCGCTCTGGGAGTTGAGAGGGCGCAAAAAGCGCGCGGACAGGGCACATTGGCCAGAGGAAAGCTCAGCGACGCGTGGCTGCTCGTGTGCACGTCGGTGCGCGTGTCCGTGTGTGTGTGCGTGCGCGCGTGTGTGCACCTGTGCAAGTGTGCATGTGGTCAATGAGCGCTCTGTGTGCGAGGGAATGTGTGCCTCCTGTCGTTTTAGGCGAGAAATCCTTTCCCGGTGTGAACTATGCTAAGGAAAAAGTTAACACCTGGATGAACTGTCCGGCCTCTTGCAAGAGCAGCCAGACTCTATTTGAAATGGAGTCACCCAGAGAAGGACAGCAGCAGGACGCGTCAGCCCCAGAGACTGAAGGGGTGGAGAGAGGGTCCTTGAGCGTCCAGATCTGGAAAGTGGTGCACAATGGAATCTGCTCTCGCCAGCAGGCAACACTAGCTGTTCTGAGAGCGGACTTATGAAAAGCATATATGGTCTCTTCCTTTGCTTGATGCGGTTTAAAATTGGACAGATTCTTCAAAAAAAAAAAAAACTTTCCGTTGGCCCCCACGGTGGGTTGTAGCCTAAGCCTGTTTACACAGCATTGATACATCCTGTGTTTAACTTTTGTATTTTATTTATAAACAATTGTTTTAAATTCCGAATTTAAAAACCCTACACTCAGGATGTCCATCTCGAGATACACTGATTTTTTTTTCTTTCACACTTTTTCTTCACACTTTCGCACGGAGTTTTGAACCCTTAAGTTTGGTTACCCAGACGCGAGCGAGCCCTCACACAGGGAAGTGAATCCCGCATGCTATGCTGCAGAGGCTGCTCTTGGCCCCTGAACTCAGGGCACATCAGGTGGTCCCCGACTTAGCCTGAACCCGGACTTCTTTCCCACGCATAGAAAGGCTTTTATTTTTAACTAAAGATTAGCTGGCTAGAAATACAGAGACAGGCGCGAGAGTGTGGGCAAGGGCCGAATCCAAGCACCAAGGGGGCACTTGTTTGGCTGCGTTCCGTGGTGATTTAATCTGGGACCGAGCGACGTCCTAATTGGGGACGCGCGCACAGCCCGCCTGGGCTCCCTTCGCTCCATCCCTGGCCCTGCACTCTCCCTCCCTCTTCCTTCTCTCAGCAGGTACTCTCTTCTGGCCTCTCCTTCTGATCTTGGTTAACGAAAATGATGTTACAACCTGTGTATTTACAAAGGCCTCGGGAGACTGCCAGGCAGTACCGGGCTCTAGGGCTGCGCTTCCGAGGACTTCTCGACTGACACGGCCGGCGAGGAGCTGCGGAGTCCAACTCCTCCCTGCTCCGGGCGCCAGGACTCGGGAACACAGACCTCGCCTCCCAGCTCCGCCACTGTGGCGTTCTTTCCTCCTGCCAACCCCTACGGTTCTCCAGTCTGAGAACCAGGCTCGGTCCAAGCTCCGCGAGTTCTCTTCTCATGTTGATTTCTCACTCAACGTTCACTTCTCACCGGAGCTCAGGGAAGGGGCGCGGTTCTGGAGAGTCCGGGGCGTGAGCGCTCTGCAGGTAAGCTGCTCTTCATCCTCCCTCCCTCTGCCAACACGCTCTGTAGCTTGGAGAAGGGAAAGTAGGGAGGAGAAGGGGGCTTCGGACCCAAGTCTGGTGCAGTGAGGAACTTGACAGTGTCCGGAAGAGAACTCACGCGCTAGGGAATGAGCCTCCAGGTCCACGATCACCCTCTGGCTGCGTTCGCTCTAGCTGCAGCCCGCACTGCGATTGTTTTTTTCACCCTGTGCGTGGAAAACCTGTCCCTATCTTTTCTTCATTTATTGACCCCCATTCCTTTCACAACACTACACTGTAGGTTCAGTAACAGAAAATTTTCAAGAAGGCTACACTTGTCTCTATCACTAATATCTAATCCAAAGATCCAAAGAAGGCTTGAAGGAGGCCAGGTGGCTCATACCGGAGTGAAGGAATACCGGCAGCGGGGAGCTGGACACTGCCCACACGAATATTCCAACAGGTCAAGCTAGACATGAGTCAAACTGAGACAAGGAATCGGGAAATTAAATAATATTCTCTAATTAGTTAATGGACATTTTTACAGCCATGCTGTATAAAATCATGCTTAAATTGATATTTAGAATATTCAGTTTCATATTCTTTGAAGTAAGTAGTTAATGCTATTTTTCCCTATAGACAAAGTTGCCCTGAGCCTGCCAGGGAATTGAAAATAGAACCAAACGTTCCAATTTAGGCCCCGTTAAAGAGTCAGTAGACTTGGTGTTTAGCTTTTAATAAAAGTTACTGCACTCTCTAATTGGCTGTAAGTTAGGTCCTGATCTCGTATTTTACATCTGTAGATACCGACAGTTCTTAAACAGTGGGAATTTTGTGCACATTCATATAATCTGCTGAAAGTATAAACAATGAAAA